TTCTCTTCTCTTCTCTTCTCTTCTCTTCTCTTCTCTTCTCTTCTCTTCTCTTCTCTTCTCTTCTCTTCTCTTCTCTTCCCTTCCCTTCCCTTCCCTTCCCTTCCCTTCCCTTCCCTTCCCTTCAATTCTATTAAGACAGACTGCCTCAGGTGAAATCTCCCTGCGTGGCCCACATGTCTTGAGGAGGAAGGTTGCGAGTGAGAGTCCAGGGTGGGCAAGTTGGAGATGGTCCATGATGGTCCTTTGCTTGGGAACAGCCTTTCCCTGGAAATCTGGAGGATGCACCCTCTTCTAACTCTGGTGCCATTTTATGTAAATGGAGCGTTTCAAGTTCTCTCTCAAAGGGGAACCAAATAACTTTTCTGATAGGGTGGATTTCTTTCTGATGTATTGTTGTGCTCCTGTAAAAAATCTTAAAGTCTGTTTTATGTAAAAAAGCAATTCAAGAGGCCAGAAGCACCTCAGAATGAAATTCTGACTCCAACCACAGTCCTCTTTCAGTCTCAGGCTTTTTTTTTTTTAATGTCCACAGCAGATAGATTAGCTGAAAAAAAGCCCAATGTAGGCGTAGCTAAGTAGACACCCAGGCAAATGCGGCTTTCCATTGTTTATTTATTTTTCACTTTTAAAGCATGTTTGGTTCAAATTCACATTCATGGACTTGTTGATTTCATTTTTTTAGGTACCCTCTCTATCTTACCATGGAAAAGTTGGTCTTCTGCCTCGTGATGATGAGCACCGTGTCTGTGAGGGCCCTGATGTGTCCCATGCGCTGCAGCTGCCAGACAGTGTCTCCATCTTTCACCATTCTTTGCACGAAGAATGGGCTGCTCTTTGTTCCTCCCGCCATTGACCGACGGACAGCAGAACTCCGGCTGATGGATAATTTCATCACGACTTTGCGAAGGATGGATTTTGCAAACATGACAGACCTGATCCATTTAACGCTATCACGAAATACAATCAGTCATATTATGCCTTATGCATTTTTTGATCTTAAAGGCCTTCATGCATTACACCTGGATAGTAACCGACTCACCTATATTGATGAGGATCATTTCAAAGGATTGATTAACCTTCGCCACTTAATTCTCAGTAACAACCAGTTACATTATATTTCACCTGGATCTTTTGAAGATTTCATTGACATAATTGAGGATCTAGATCTATCCTATAATAATCTTGTTAAGATCCCCTGGGAAACTGTCGGGAGGCTTTCAAATGCCAATACTATTAGTTTGGATCATAACCTCATAGATTTTGTTCCCGAAGGCATCTTCTCCGATCTTCACAAACTAGCTCGGCTGGACATGACTTCTAACCAGCTGAGGAAGATCCCCCCCGACCCTCTTTTCTCCCGCATTCCCGTCTATGCCAAGCCCAAGGGTACCCCTCTATCCTCTCTGGTATTGAGCTTTGGAGGGAACCCACTACACTGCAACTGTGAGCTAGTATGGCTACGGCGCCTGACTAGGGAAGATGACCTGGAAACCTGTGCTTCCCCACCTGAGCTGACGGGCAGGTATTTCTGGTCTATTAAGGAGGAGGAATTTGTCTGTGAACCACCAATGATTACTCACAGAACAGCAAAGCAAACGATCACGGAAGGACAGAGTGTTTCCTTGAAGTGTAGAGCAGTAGGTGATCCAGAACCATACATACGATGGATTTCACCAGGAGGAAAATTGGTCTCCAACACTTCCAGAGCAATTTCCTATGAGAATGGGACTTTGGACATTTTAGTGACTTCCACGGAAGACCAAGGCATGTATACTTGTATAGCATCCAACGCTGCAGGGGAGTCCACTGCACCAGTTGAACTTGCAGTCAGCTCATATCCTCATCTTGCTAACAGCACAAACTCTGGCAAAGAAGCTGAGGCGGGTCCATCGGATATTCTCATTTCAGCCAAGTCCAGTTTCTCTAACGAAACCAAATCTCGCCAAGAGAGGAAAGTGGCCATTGCTGAGCTGACCTCGTCCTCTGCCCTCATCCAGTGGCCTTCACAGCACCATATTCCTGGGATGCGAATGTTCCAGATCCAGTACAACAGTTCTGCTGACGATATCCTGGTGTACAGGTACGCATTCCTACCAGGCTTGTTTCAAGGTTATTTCTGGCACAGTGGCAGTGGTGGGAAGCTTGACAATCAGGAGTAAAACCGGGCACTGCTTGCTTGATGCCTTTGCACGGAATGAGTTAGGAGAAGGGTAGGAGGAGATCATCAAGAGGCAGAATGAAAAGAGAAGTGTCTTCTACTCTAAAGGGAAAATCCAAGCCCAGGGCTCTCCTTTCCTCACCTTCCTTTTAAACCAGAACTTCATACAGGATAGATGAGAATTATATTAAAAACAGGGTGGTCAATTTCATTTTTATTTTTGTGCCTTGGTTCCTGGTGACTGCCCGGAGCGATCCCGTTGTTTCCTTGGCCACGTTTTTGGAAGGGATTTCTTCCTGCCTTCTTACTAGGGCTGAGAAAGAGTGACTGGCCCAAGATCACCCAGCCGGCCTAGACCTCATGGTCTCCTGGTTTCCTGAAATTGCTTCCTTGCCCTAGGCCTAACAGTAGCTGGGGATAGAGCTCCTCCCTCCCTCCCTCCCTTGGGTAATTTCTTCAATTTGCCAGTCCCAATTCTGTTCCCCACAGCAAGTGAAACATGGCCTTCTCGGGTAAATTTCATGTCCAGGTTAGTCAGAGAAAAATCTATACAACAGGCCTTTGCATAATTGAAAAACAGCAATTGAAAAACGTAGATATACACACTATACCAGAGATCGCCAACCAGTGGGCTGGGGACCACTGGTGGTCCGCGAGAAAATTTTGGTGGTCCGCAGAGAAATGTCACCCCCAAAGCAATTAATCCAGGCTGCACGGGAAGGCTTGCATCGCTTGCATCGAGAACAACACAAGGTAGTGAGGGGAGGGGGAAAGGGCGGAGGGGGGG